AGCGGCTCGGTGGGGGCGCGCCGTCGCGCGCTCTGGGGACCGGTGTTGTCGGACGCGCTGGGCGTTGCGGATGCCCTGCTCCCGTGGCCCGCGCTCGCCGTGCTCCTCCTGGTCCTCACCGCCGCGCTCCGGTGCCAGGAAGAGGCCCAGTCCACCGACTGGAGGGCCACCCTGAAGACCATCCGGAACGGCGTGCACAAGATCGACACGTACCTGAACGCCGCCTTGGACCTCCTGGGGGGCGAGGACGGGCTCTGCCAGTATAAGTGCAGTGACGGTGAGAGGGGACCCCCCCTGCGAGGCCAGCCTCGGGGCTGCGGCGGGCGTGGAGTGGGAGATGCGAGGCAGACCTCAAGGCCGTCCTCTGGCCGTCAGGTCGCACCTCTATGTAGTTAGAATGTGAGAGAGCCACTCTCCGCCCTGTTTTCGCTGCTGCTTGTTTGTGGTTGCACAAGGTTTGCCTAAGAACTTTGTGCCATACGCATCATGGAAATGGAGTGGAACACATGCGCTTTAGCTCTATAATTAGCTCCTTAAATAAATCAGCTGAAGATGCCAAACATGCTGAGAATTTTGAAGTCACGATGGTTTAACTTTCTCAAGAGTGGGTTTAATTTTTTTTTTTTTTCCTGCAGAGCTAAAGAAAAGTTGCGACCTTTGTACAGACTTTTGGTGTACTCTGTTGTGGAGAAAGAGTTCCGACAGCTCTTCTAGAAAATTAGTCTATCAAGACTTGACAGTAATATATTTTCTGTCAAGTCTTGATAAATATCAGTGGTGCCTCTTCCTTATTTTGGTTATAACATAATTATTTTGATTTACTTTTTCATATTTTTAAACTTATGTTTGAGTGTGAGAACTTGTTTGGTAGCATTCTTGGTAATAATAAAACTCAGCATTTCGGGCAGAGATTTTTCTTGTACTAGTTCAGATAACGTACTTGGGCTTCTCTTTGGAAATTCAAAATTCCAGTAAGAGTAGACAAGGTCTCGGCCTAGTTACTGCTAGCAGCTCAAGAGAATAGGGAGCTCAATGAGTTGAATGGTGAAACCAGATTGTGTGTAGGTGAATTTACAAGGAACCTATGTCATGTAAAACTGTGATGCCACCTGCTGCCTGTGACTCTCAAAATAATTTCTAGTTTTATGTTAATGGAATTAAAGCATGAGCTGTACCTTATATGCTATGAAGTTGTAAATGTTGCATTCCTTCCTAAAGTGTTGCCTAAATGTTACCATCAGTATGTAATCAGGGAAGATGTTTTTGTTCTGGCAGAGCTTGTTAGGAGGAATAAAGTAAATAATTTGAAGGTTAAATGGTCGCCTTTCCTCAGGCTGATAAAGTTTTACTTCTCAGCCCTATTAATTATACAAATATTAGAGTGCCTGTTGTGTGTTAGGTGTTCTACCAGGTAGAGATTTAGCATTGACCGAAACAGACAAAATTTCTGTCCCTGTAGCTTACATTCTGGAAAACTTGGAAGGAGAGAGAGTCAGTAAACTAATGAACAAGTGAAATAAGCCAAATATGCAGTGTGTGTAGATCTGAAGTGCTTTGAGAACAATAAAGCAAAGAAAACACCAGTAGTAGTATTGGGAGGGAGTTTGTTCTTTTAAATGGGTCGTTCAGCCGAAACTGGTTTGGCTCAGTGGATAGAGCGTCGGCCTTCGGACTGAAGGGTCCCAGGTTCGATTCCGGTCAAGGGCATGTACCTGGGTTGCGGACACATCCCCAGTGGGAGATGTGCAGGAGGCAGCTGGTCGATGTTTTCTCTCTCATCGATGTTTCTAACTCTCTATCTCTCTCCCTTCCTCTCTGTAAAAAATCAATAAAATATATTTTAAAAAAAATAAAAAAAATAAATGGGTCGTTCAGGGAAATTCTCACTGATAAGAAAATATTTGAGAAGAAACTGGAAAATGGAGAAGGTGATGAACTGGGGAAAGAACACTAGGCAGAGGAACAGCAAATGTAAAGAACCGGGTGGCTCTGAAGGTTTTGGCCTGAGCCAGGGGAAGGATGCAGTTGCCATTTAGAGAGAGAGGAAAACTTGGAAGGAGTGGTCTTCATAAGCTTACTATGTTTGAGTCAAGGATTCTAGAGTTTCTGTATATTTATTTATTTAGTTTTTAATGTATTTTTATTGATTTCTGAGAGGAAGGGAGAGGGATAGAGAGAAACATCAATGATGAGAGAGAATCACTGATCAGCTGCCTCCTGCATGCCCCCGACTGAGGATCAAGTCCTCAACTCAGGCATGTGCCCTGACCGGGACTAGAACTGTGACCTCGGGGTTCATAGGTCAACGCTAGAGTGTATGTATATTTAAAATAGCTCTAATGTTGAGTGGATACTATTCCTATTAAAAAGATTATTTTAATCTTTCCTTTTACTTAATCCTTTTTTATTCTTCCACAAGCCTAACTAAATTTGCCCTTTAGAGTTTAGAGCAATGTCTCCAGCACAAAAACGCAAATGAACGTGATGATTTGGGAAGTTGTATGCTTCAGTGAAAACCCTCTTGTGTCTTAGTAAGTACTGTCTGCATAGGACTGCGGTTTCCAAGTCACCACATTGATAATTCCAGCAGAATGAAAATTGTTCTTTCATTGCTGTTACTGGAAGACGTCTCCTTGGAACACTGTTTCAACCTTTCCAATATTTTGGAATGCAAGTACCTAATCAGAGCCAAACAAAACTAGACAAACCCCAGAGCTAGAAGAACATGGTGTTAAATAGTGATGTCAAGGGAGCTTTAAAAAAAAAGTCTTAATGGTAGAGAGGGGGTGGTCAGATTAATGGACACAGACTTGTGGCATACAGTTACCCTTGCTTGATAGAAAGGAGTGGCATTTCAGAGATTTGCTCCCTCTGGCCATCCTCCCTAAGTGGGGACAAGGCTTTATTGAGAGTGAGCTAACGTTATTTAGAGGACAAATGTGATGGTTGCTACTTTTTTTCTCCTGGACAGCAGAGAAGATTTGAGGAAGAAAACTTTCCAATTTCCTTTGAAAAGTACAAAGCAAAATTGGTTTGTACCATGTTTTTAGAATTATGAATAAGTCATTTATTTAGTGATTTATGTTTCAGCAGGATCCCTTTGGCTGTTGTGCTGAGAATAAGAAGGGCCCAGGGAGATGGGGGAGCAAGAATGCAGGCAGCGTGACAGGAGCAGGAATTCAGACAAAAGGTGGTTTTGTCCAGGTTGGTAGTAATAAAGGTGGTGAGAAGTGGTTGAATTCTGGACATATTTTGAAGGAAGAGCTGAAAGGATTTGCTAATGGCTTAGAAGGAGGGTGTGAGTAGAATCTAAAATGATTCCAAAGTTTTTGGCCTGAATAATTGAAAGGATGGAGTTGCCATTAACTGAAATGGGAAGACCATGTAAAAAAAAACCCACAATTTTGGGGGTCATTAGTAGAAATAATAGCATATGTATGCTTTTGAGAATGATTCAGTAGTGAGTTAAAAAATAATTATAAAAGAGAGAGAAAGGAGAATTATTGGAGTCATGTTGATGACCAGAATGGTGAGCCAAGGTGTTTTCCTGGGTTCGTGTCTCGAGACGCCGAAGAATGAGCTACAAGCAGGTTCAGACTCCCTACAAGGGGAGGGGACCCAATAATGGGCTGCCCAGTAAAGCCTTGTAGTCCAGGGGTATATATTTGCTACAAGCCTGCTCCATGTCTACCTGTGTCACCACCTGATTGATTCCCTCAATTGTTTTTGCCCAGCAACAAGCCTGAACTTCCCCCGTTTCTGTGCGTTCCTTCTCTGTTCCTGTGCTGAACTTTCTCGGTTTCTATGGGTTCGTACACCTTTGTTGCTCCAGGCCCTCTCTTGGTTTCCCATCCTCCCGCTTTGAGTCCAGAAACATTTTATTATTTCTGCTTGGTTGGTTCCTGTGGTTAGGCTGCTCAAACTGCCCTGTCTGCCCCGGCCTGTGTCCCACCTGCCTTTGTTTTCCACTGGACCCCTGCCCTATCTACTGGCGCTTCAGGTTAACCCTTTCAATGTGCTTAGGTTCTAGTTCATAAATAGATTGGCCAAGAGCACAGATGGCATAGTCCCGTTAATAGGAACAGAGGTAGAGGATATGGGTACAGATGCCGGATAGGTAGGCAGATGTTCAAGTTCTCTTCCAGTTGCCTCGTTTTTCTCAGTGAAGTAGAAATCAAGTTCATGAGCTGGGCGGGAGGGAAGATGGAAATGGAATTGTTAGAAATTTGAGGAAAATAGGAAGTGGTGGACTAGAAAAATAAGGGCCCTATTAAGATTAATCATCATGAATTTAAAGTCTCGGGTGTTTGGGAAAGCAGGTTGGATTTTAGACTGTTTTTCCTACAAAACAGTAGTAAGACCTTTGTAGGACCCAACAGCCTTCCCCTTAGGCTTCTCATCTGCTTCACTATCTTTCAGATGAAACATATTGGTCTGTTTGGAAGTATTTACATCAAATTAAGAAAAATCTGTAGAAAACAACTATCGTCGCCGTCCAGGCAACTCCAGATTTCAGCTGTCCATATGGGTGATAAAACATAAAGCATCAAGACAGGAGCAGTTGCTTACGTCAAAAAGTGAAATCAATGAATAGTATTTCCATGTGGTTGGGGAGTGGATTTGTTTTGTTTTTAAAATTCTTCCCATCTAATTTTTCCCTCAGCTTTCTGTATCCGCTTATAAATTTTGGGGGACATTGGCCCCAATACATTATGGCTTTGGTTTGACTCTGATGGTGTTTCTTCTATTATTGAGTTTCTGCTTGCTTTGCATAGTAATCTGCTCAGGCTGCCATAACAAAATACTGGGTGACTTAAATAATAGGAATTTATTTCTTACAATCCTGGAGGCTGGAAAACCTAAGATTAGGGTTTGGCCAACAAAGGATTAGGCGGGGGCAGGGGAGCGAGGCAGGTACACAGTTCAGATCACAAAGCTCTTTGCAGAAACTGCCACCAGTAGAAATGCTAACTTTTTCATGTTCAGCAGCTTATAACAACACTAGAGGCCCGGTGCATGAAATTTGTCCACTGGGGAGAGATGGGGGTCTCTCAGTCCGAGAGCCCTCAGGGGATATCCGACTGCTAGTTGGGCCCATTCCCCATGGGGAGAGGATCTAAGCCAGCAGTCAGACATTCCTCTCACAGTCTGGGACCTCTCACTCCTTCCACCCACCTGCTCGCTGCTCCTTACCACTCGTCTCACTGCTCCTTAGTGCTGCCATGGAGGCCGGCTTCTGGCTGAGCAGGCTCCCCCTGTGGGAGTGCACTGATCACC